TCACAATGGCACGGGGGCGAGAAAAACGCAACCTGAAGCCTCCCATACGGCTCAAACCGTGTGGCGTGCCTTTTTTTGGGACGCTGCCCAGTTTTCAATGATTTCAAGGACGACCATTTTTTGTTCGGGGGCTCCCCTATTTAATTTAAGACGCGCCATGTCCCTTTATGGAGGGGACACCGTTCCGACATAAACTACCCGACCAAGAACCGCTGAAGAACTTGTTGGTTCTCAGCAGGGAATTAGTTGGAATGACCCTATAATCCATCCCCTAAAGTTGCCTTTAGGGGGAACCTCTTCCGTTTCATTTCCAAAACCTGGACTCGGTCATTCATTCCCTATCGCACCAGCAACACAACAACCTACCCAACCGTCTGGACCAACCCACAAGCTTACCAACTCAGTCCATGTTGAACCACTTTTGGCCCAAGTACCTTTTGGACTGCGCTTGGATCTTTGACTCCAAGCGGAGCTTCCCTGGGCAAGTCCGTCGCTTCGGATTTACGCTTCTTCAGAAACGCGGCGGGAAGACACTGGCCCGGCGCGAGGCCTCGCAGGTTCGCCGGCGAAAAAAAGAAGGCACCGAGTTGCTGTCTCTACATGCGTCGTGTGGTTTTTAATCAGGGCTGTGGGGAGTGGGCGACCACTTCTGTGATACAGCAAAAAGGGCGTCCCAAAGATGAATTTGTTCGCAGAAAGGGGGATTGCTTTGTATCGCATGCGTCGTGTTGTTCTTTAACAAATGCATAGTCAAATAGAAGTACACGTGTTCTCAGATGCCCAGTGGATGGGACCAAAAAGGGCAGCTTTTTCTGCGCTGTTTTGTTTAAACCAATCTGGGAGAAAAACATACCATACGTCCAAAGCCTAAAATTTACGGATTGTTTCAAGGATCTTCACCATGCGAGACCAAGCATCCCGTTTTTCCAGACAAACCACGAACTGGCGAAGTGGATATCTTGTCCATCCACGGGTTCGCACCACGCGGTGGTGCATGGATCTGCAAATTTGTACAACACGTCCAGGAAAAGGAATTCCCAAGTAAAGGATCTTTACCACTTTAGCCCGTTTTACCCGAGCTCGCCATACTTTTTTCACAAATGCCATGCTTAAATATCCAAATGCAAGTACACAGGTGCAATACTGTGGATGGACGAAATCCTGCACCACTTTGAAACAATGGGAAACCATTGTTGGTTGGTATTTACAGGGGAATCACAATTCCAGGGTTTCTTAGGTGGTGCGAAGTGGATTTCGTCCATCCACAGTATGTGTATACATGTTGTGTGCTGTTCCTTGGTTTCCGCGGTCCTTTTCGGTGCATTGCATTCGTTCACCAATAGAAGCCGTCAGCGCGGTCTATTGGCCTGATGTTGACGTTCACGCGGGATAAAGCGCCCCTCACGCGGTCAGCTTCCTGCAATTAACAAATACACCCCAGTCCCATTCGGTCCCTTTCGTCCCAATTGGCGCAACGCTAAACCAACACTAAACTTCTAATTCCATCATTTTAAGTGTAAACTCAAATTGTGAATTGTAATGTTAATTTCGCCTGTTAAATGCAAGTGAAAAATAGACCAGGTGCCTCAAGCAAGTTCAAATAACCCCTTTACTCAGCAAAGGCCGGAGTGACGCCCTCGACTTGCTCACATGGTGGTTGTCAAAGGCGGCGCTAGCAGCTCCCAGCGACTGCGATTGAAACAGGGTGCCCGCAAACATACATGCAACCTTTGTCTTAACATTACCTGACTCAGCCTGATTCACAAGAAAACCCTCCGAAGCGATGTTCAAACGGATGGAACACAACTTGACCCAACACATGCCGGCCAGTATTCATATCTTCGCTGCGTTCATCAAGACTCAAGCAGGAGGCCAATATTGGCTCACTTGCCCGGTGGCCATAGGGGAAAACGAACAATAGACAGGAACCAACCCTTCGTTCCCACCCTATTCCGCAATAACATGCCGCCAATGAAACTCGAGTCAAGGAACCCCTTGAAAACCCCGATCCGGCGATAGTCAGTGCGGACTGGCGTTGGAGCATGCCTCGGAAGAAGACTAGCAAGACGGTGATGTAAATGATGATCACCTGAGCGCCCCAAACCAGCCGATGGCTCTACCAAGATGGTTGTAAATGTGTGCCTTTTTTAGTGAGGGTACCCTTTCCACCACAGTTCAAATTGAGATCAACGGGAAAGCCACATTTCTTGGAGTCCCCCTACTTTAACACATACCCCTTCAAAAGAACGAGAACTAAAGGAGCTCCAGATTAATCAGGCGGGGGGGGTCCTTGCCCAATTCTTTTCGACCTGGGGTGGGGGAGGTGTGCGGGGGCGGGGGGGGGGGGTGGGGGGTGGGGGGGCTCCGGTCTTGTTACATGGGGTTTGGGTTTTCACGGGGTATGAAATGAATAAACACTTCCACATATATATATATATATATATATTTATATATCTATATATATTTATACATTGGAACTGCGGAACCGCCCGTTCTTGATGTCCAGCGGGCACTTGACAATAGGCTTGTTGGGTTGCTCTAGGAAATCCAAACGAAACCAAAGCCCTTTGAGGACCAACCCAGAAAGGATCACCCCCACTGAATGAGGGGCCCATAAGCGTGGAGGTCAGGACGGCCGACCCGAGAGAAGAAGCACAAGCCGTGCATTCAAATCTGCTTTCCGCTCGTTGGTGATTTGGAGTTGTGGGGCAAGTCCTCTGAAAAGCGCGCAAAAAGACTCTGAGCCCGTTCCCCCCCACGCCAACAAAGTGGCGTTCCTGCATGTCACCCTAAACTTTGAACCTGTCTCTACAAACACATTCGGAGAACTTCAATCTGGACGAGTAACAACTCACTGACACACCATGGGATCTCTTTATGAAAGCGACCTTAATTCTGGTGCCCGAAGTCGCACACACAAAAACACTTTGAGGCGTTGCGATGTGATTTGCCCAAATAAGTGTTCAGGGGAACCCATACTGCACTGCGGAAGGTCTTTCACACGAAGCTCCAACTGCCAGGCATCAGTCACTTCGCGCGGAACTGCTGATGCCCTAGCGGCATAGTGTCGAAGCGCATGGCCCAATCCATTGTCTACTTCTGCAACCTTCCGGGCAAGGGCAAACATGTCTAACGTTGACTCCATCTTAATTTATTAATGGGTGTGTGTCCCCCTCCCAAAGTAAACCCAGGTTGACGCCTATGGATAACTCGGGGTTGGTTATGGGCACAGCAGCCAAAAGCAGAGGCGCTGGGCGGTTGGGGAAAAAGTGCGATGGGGAGGTTCGAGGCTTCGGATCCCTCAAAACGCCCTCGCGAGCGGTGTGGATGTGATCTGAGCCATGCGCTGCTGAGCCCAGTGCAGCAAAGGGGCCGCTTTGTCGGCGTTGGCCATTTTTTGGTAAGGAACCAAATTGATAACAAGAAAACATTTGTGGGTCGAGTTTAACAGGGATCCTTACATTATACACCTGACCATTGCCTTGTAAATGGTTGTTTCAACCTTTATTTTGGTGTTGAAAAAGCCACATGTTTCAAATGGTTGCAACGTATCTTTTAAGGAGCCCTGCTGCAACTTCCATCATGGCTGTCAAAACAATCGTCCCGTCATGGGGGTCCGCCGTTGCCCCCATGACTGGGTGCAACCGAAGCCCTCACTTTGCTCACTGGCTGGCTGGTTGGTTGGTGGTAAAACAAACGTCCCTGCACAGCCTCTCATCCCCGAAAGCCAGCAAGGCAAAATAGAAACCAGCAGGCAAATGCGAACAAGTCACCATTTGAACAGAAATACAATTGGAAGTTGAAGCTGGCGCCTTTGGGGTTTGACAACCGCAGTTGCGCAACGCCTCACAAGTGGCTGACGCTGTCAGCCATGGCGGGGCATTGAAGGATTTAGTGACTTTGCGCTGGCCCCCAGGAGATTGCACCACGGTAACATCAGAACAAAATACGCATGTAGAGTTCCCTATTTGGCTACAACCTTTATTTTGGTGTTGAAAAAGCCACATGTTTCAAACGGTTGCAACATGTATCTTTTAAGGAGCCCTGCTGCAACTTCCATCATGGCTGTCAAAACAATCGTCCCGTCATGGGGGTCAGCCGTTGCCCCCATGACTGGGTGCAACCAAAGCCCTCACTTTGCTCACTGGCTGGCTGGTTGGTTGGTGGTAAAACAAACGTCCCTGCACAGCCTCTCATCCCCGAAAGCCAGCAAGGCAAAATAGAAACCAGCAGGCAAATGCGAACAAGTCACCATTTGAACAGAAATACAATTGGAAGTTGAAGCTGGCGCCTTTGGTGCTTGACAACCGCAGTTGCGCAACGCCTCACAAGTGGCTGACGCTGTCCAGCTTGTCAGCCATGGCGGGGCATTGAAGGATTTAGTGACTTTGCGCTGGCCCCCAGGAGATTGCACCACGGTAACATCAGAACAAAATACGCATGTAGAGTTCCCTATTTGGCTACAACCTTTATTTTGGTGTTGAAAAAGCCACATGTTTCAAACGGTTGCAACATGTATCTTTTAAGGAGCCCTGCTGCAACTTCCATCATGGCTGTCAAAACAATCGTCCCGTCATGGGGGTCCGCCGTTGCCCCCATGACTGGGTGCAACCGAAGCCCTCACTTTGCTCACTGGCTGGCTGGTTGGTTGGTGGTAAAACAAACGTCCCTGCACAGCCTCTCATCCCCGAAAGCCAGCAAGGCAAAATAGAAACCAGCAGGCAAATGCGAACAAGTCACCATTTGAACAGAAATACAAATGGAAGTTGAAGCTGGCGCCTTTGGGGTTTGACATCCGCAGTTGCGCAACGCCTCACAAGTGGCTGACGCTGTCCAGCTTGTCAGCCATGGCGGGGCATTGAAGGATTGAGTGACTTTGCGCTGGCCCCCAGGAGATTGCACCAGTGTCATTTGGCCCTCACACAGTAACATCAGAACAAAATACGCAAGTAGAGTTCCCTATTTGGCTAGAAGCGTTTACAAGAAACCATCCTTCAAGATCATGCTGATCCTGCGCTGATCTTCAGCCTGCTGCGGAGGTAGGCAGAAGCCTTCGGAAAGCAGCGCTTCAACTTATCGGGATCCTCACGCAGCCAGTAGGGCCATGCCAGCTGCAGCAATCCAGTCACTCCCCCTGGCCTTGGATGAATGAACGCCCGGTGCATTCCAACTCAGCTTGCCCAACTAGCATGGGAATCAGCCCCCGCCATTTTCAGATGGACGCCGGGAAGCTCCGTCCACTCATCTACAAGCTCAGCTTGTGCCGTGAGCAAAGGGCGACCAGCTGAGTTCACTGAAGGGTGATAAGGGGTCCTGTTGGACGTTTCAGTGAGCAATTTGCTAGCCGGGTCTGAGCTGAAAAGTATAATTCTGCGCTGGCTTGCAAAACAGCCCCGCACCTTGGACTGGACGATGCAACTCATATTGGCATCCCGCCAAACTCTCAAACAAAAAATCATTCTTCATGGGCTCTCACACATGGAAGCAGACAACTTCAACATCCATGCCCAGAAATCTACAATAGTTCCAAGACCTGCAAAGGGATCCAAATAAAGGACCTACATCATTGTGATCTTACCCACCAGGTGAGCTCGCAACAGGACGGGATTGATAAAACACTTCTTGGACTCTTGAGGAAAACAAGAGACTCTTCACGCAGTTGTGCTTTGGCGGGGTCTTCACCCTGGCGTGTGTGCAAAAACAATCGTTGCCCATGCACAAATCTGCATTCACACCTGCGCACATACACTCACATATAGATATATATATATATAGTATGTATATACACCTCTACCCACAAACTCTTGGTTGACTTTGGAAGGGGAGCAAATATTTAATTTTTAGCAGCTAAGTGAAAGTGGTTGGATTTCAACCACTAAACCATAAGCAAAAATGTAAAATGTTTCCCAACAAACACAAACTAGGCGTTGCGAGGAAGACTGCTACGCTAGTCACTGAGTTTGCTCACATCCCCCGCCATTGCAGCGCCAGGCGCCGCTTTTTCGTCTTGGCCATCTTGAAGGTGCTCAACAGCCTCGCTAAAGGGCAATTCCGATAAAGGATTGAGTGCTAACAACCCGTCTGGATTGTGCAAGTAAATCGTCCGACCAGTTGAAAGTGCTTCCCGGTGTTCATCTTTTTCCACTTGTACAAGTCAGCGTTTGCATTCCTACTGGTACAAGTGGAAAGGAAATGGAACCGTTGGGCCAGCGCCATTTTTAGCTATACAGTGACAACTCTCTCCCGACGGGCCACTAAAAGCACTCAAGTTTTTTGCCACCAAAATGGTCTTCCCAAACAGTGACGAAAGTCCATAAACCCAGGAAGTATGACACACCGAGCCCATTGAAAGGTGCTGGCCATGCGTGCAGACTTGCCCAAAAAGCGTTCTGGCATGACAGGTCTCATTGTACCGTACCCCTCCGTGGTCGAACCTCAAAGATGCCAGGAATTTCTGGAGGGCTTGGCATTTGGGTATGAATTTTAATTGGACATCATTTAGGTGGGGATTCATGTCCTCCAACCACTTTGGAGGGGGGGTTCCCTACTCAAATTCATCGCCATATCGCATTTGTTCAACGCCTGGCGTATCAAGCATGAGGGGAATTGATGTGTAAAGCCTAGACAAGCTCACTTCCTATCGAAACCCAAAAGAGGAGGTGATCACGTTTGAGCGCCTTGACCGAAACCCAGACCTCCGGTGCCCAACAACAAAGGTCGCCATTCTTTTGTTTGGTCGGTTTTGAAGCGACAACCAAACAGAAGGAACAGAGGAGACCACTGGAAGTGTGGGAAAAGTTGGAAAAGTGGGGAAACCCGTGGAATCAAAAGCCCCTGGCAAGTGAGAAGCGCTTCGTCGGCCATGTGCTCCATCACCATGAAAGCACGCTGCTCCTGAGTCCATGTCTAAAGTGACATGCCCATAAATCGTCCCTCCGAATCTTCCTTTTGGTTACCCCTGGATAAAAAGTATATGTCCAGTGAAATCGGTTCCTTTTAAAACCAGTGGAAAATCACACACATTCATTTCAGCAAATGGAAGGAATGGGTGCCAGGGACACCAGCGGAAAAAAACCGACGCTTCAGCGCCTGTGGGCCCAGCTGGCCATGGGTCGAAATCCAAATATCCTACGTGAACATCCGATTCAATCCCCACAATAGACTCAAATGGGTGAATTCACCTACCCCATGGGATCCCATTCGTTTTGACCCACAAGCTCAAGGCCCCTTGCGGATAAAGCTTGGCCAGTTTCTTGATGGCTGGGGGCACGGAGGGGGGCAGCCACTTGGGCCAAAGCAACGAGCATTTCTGGGAAGGCTGTCTGGAAATATGAGCGGGTGCCACTCAAGTAAGAGCGAATCAAGACTTGTAACTTTTGGTGTTCCCCAATTCATGCTTCAAACCGGGAAGCATGTGGGCAAATCTAAGAACAACGGTTCAGTCGGAAAAAGCGCCCACTGCGCAAACAAAAAAATCCTTGAGCGGGTCCTTGGAAAACGTCCCAACCACAGTCCCCTGAAGCCCGGCATGGGCATGCGGGAGCCAGCTTTCCACAAGCCGTCCGGCCTGTGGGCTCACGTCGCGCTTGAGTAGCAGTCTTGCCAAAGCTGGGAGGTCCAACGTCATCGTCACCAGGGCATCCACCAGAGCTTCCATGCAAAGCGTCCAGTTCTCATGGAAGCCTGAGCGGGATAATCTTCACCCCGGATTCACACACCCCTGTTTAATATGGGGGGGGCACCCCCCGATTTTAGTGGGGATGTATCACTTCTGGAGGGAACACCCCCCTAATAGTGGGACGGGTTTATTTATCCTGGGTCAACATCAGCAAAAACTTCAGTTAAAAGAAGCCAAGTACCAGCAACGTAGCTTGACACTAAGGATGCAAAGGAAAGCCTCCCTTATCAGCGACGTGTAACTACCTTGCGCGTCATTTGCAACACGAAAAGCCACCAAAAGTTAGGCCATCGGAAAACCCACAGGTCCAAAGCGCAACATGTCTTCCACAATTCCACCGGAAGTAACGAACGGACCTCAAGCAAAACAAACACAAAAACGCTAAAATCGTGGTGAGCTCGAAAGAACAGGTGAGATTGCCTCAAATAATTTCGCCTAAGCAGTATCCTCGCTTTGTAGGATTAAGTTTGGGCCACTTTAGCTCAACATATGCCCCTTCCTCCTAAAAGTGAAAGTCCCCTAACACTTGCTTCGCCACACGAAATTTAGAACCTTGCGTTGGTGTGTGTTTGTTTACTGGCGGGCGGGGGTGCGGGCTTAAACAATGTTTAGGTTTGGGAGGGTCGGAACTATGTTCAACCCGCTTTTCCTTTGCACGCATGTCAGCGTGTATGCTCTGAGACGAGATAAAGCTCGTCATCCGCCATGTCAGGAAAGAAGCTGCAGGAAAGGCACGCTTTGGGCCACTCTTCTCCCCTGTATTGCTGTTTCCCCCAAAGAGCTTTAGCTGTAGGGGTTCTTACCGTGCTTAAGAAGAGGCCGGGCACTTGTCACCAAAACCGGTGGCCTGGGTCGGGTCTTTCTTTCCTGCATGCTTGACATGTAGCGTTTGTGTCATGTCATGGAAGTCTCTGGGAAACAGTGCCGGAACCTCAGCCATATTTCAAGTGGCAAGGCCATGAAAGTACCTGTTTGTGGATGCGATTCAATTCCATTCCGAGGCGCGAACAGAGAATATTCCACGCGGTTCGCAACACAGTTCCACATTGCCATTCCTTTCCTGGCAAGTCTCATAAACAAACACGCGCCTACGCCATTTCATAGATCTAATGAGCACACTTGCTGCATGTCATGCTTGGATCGGCTCAAGACGTCAAGAGAGGCAGCAGAGAATGCCTTGCAGCAGGTTTGCGCAAGTGTTCAGGGGGGTCTTTTTGCCACCTTTTGTGAGAACATGGGCGACCCCCTCAAAAAGGAATCCTTCACTGCAAGGGGGTGGATCATTTTTCCACTGGCAAAACGACCCCTGTGGCAAGTGTTCCTTGCAGCACTTACGGTTTCTGCTCGAGTGGCCCAGCGCGATTAGAAACATGGAGCAACAGGTGAAACATGGATTGCACGCAGACAACGAAAGTTGCCCAAAGGACCTGGAACTAAAAGGTTAACCTTTTGGGGCCATGACTAAATATGGGCCAAAATTGGAAAACCAAAAGGTCAAAACGTCGGCTTTGAACAACTGAGCAAAACAAATTGCGTCAGCAATGGTGAGTTCATTGCATCCTCTTTGGGATCCAGGCTGGACTATGTTTTCCTGCAGGGTATTGTGTGTAATGTTTCTTTTTCAGGCCGGTCCCGGTGTGGGTGATCCTTGCTTAAGAGTATGCATCGCTTTGGGACAGCGGTTTGCGTTACATAATGGATAAACTCATTCTGCTAAAAGACCAAAACATGAGTTCCCACCAAAAGAGGGCACCATGGATATGGCACCCCCGTACTATTTACTCTACCAGAGCTTCATTCCGGGGTTTGCATGACAAAACCCGCCAAAAAATACCTACTGCAACTGGGTGCTGGAACTGAAGCGCAATAGTCGAGCCAAGTTTGTGATTGGTTTTTGACTTGGGGTACTCCCCCTGCAAATGAATATGGAACATCATCTAGGCCCTCCAGTAGAGAGTTCAGAATAAGGGTACCCTTTTTTCTGTAGTCGATTTTTGTAGGGGAACCCTCCCCCAAAAAAGGGTAAAAGGGCACTACCGGGGGAACTAACATAGTCATGGAGCCGCAAGGGTCCAATTTTCAGAAGATTCCGATCTAAACATCAGGGTAGTGTCTCCAAAGTCCCTGGAGTGCTGCTCGATCTCTTAAAGCGGCGTCCAAAGACTTCACACATTGGCAACCCGTTTGCATGATGCGTCCGCGTACCATATTTTGCGGTCATGATGCATCTTAGGTTAAGCATCTCATGTGCCAACATCTGGATTCTGGGCAGTACAGCATGTATCATTCAACTTCGAACTGTGCACGACTGTTCGACTAATGTGGCACACAACTCGTACGCGCCTGCCGAAGCAAGAATCTCTTCCAAGCAGCAGTGGCCAACCGCGCTTGCAGCAAGAAGGCCCACTCGATTCAGCAGCTTACGCTCCAACAGTACGGGAAGGGCAAGGAGAGGGTTCTTTCCCAAGAAGCTTTTCTCCTAGGCTGGAATTAGGACCCCAGCAAAAAATAAGATGTGTTTTGCCTAGTTAGTGGAAAACAAAGGGACCCCAAAACAGCAACAAACCAAAAAAAGGGAGAGCTAATTCTGGGGAAGTCTCCGTCTCCAACAGCTGGCACCACCCCTCCAGCTCTGCCTCGCAAGGTGGCCCTATGGAGCCTTGATCGCTGAGTACAAAACGGAGGGACAAGTAAACGCAAGCATGCCTGTTGGCCAATCGTGGTGGTCTGAAAAGCTCAATCGAGCCACGCGCATCCTTTGGTGGGTTTCCTAAAGATCCTAAAGAGAGGATTTTGACATGGCTGTGGGTCAAAAAAGGGTATATACCCAAAATAGAAGCCTGGTAGATGGAACCAAGCACTCAATCTGCGGTTTCGTGGTGGTTTAATTTTGACTCGTACCCACATTGAACCAGACTGATCATGGAAGGCAGTATACCGCAGTGCTTCAGGACACCAGTGGTCAAGGGACCTACGCAAGTATTGAGTGTGCGCCCCTAATAACTACATAAACAAATATTTACGTGTGATCCATCGATATGTGCCATACATAACTCAGGCACCTCGCAGATAGACTAAAGTCACCCACTGCCAGACGAGCATGCTAGGGTTCGGGCATACAATCGATTGACATAGTTTTTATGCAATCCTCTGAGCCAAGTCGCCTGCCCCTGCTGTCCCCGCTTCAGAGCTGTCGGGCTGTTCTCAAACAAGCGCTGCAGCGTTGCACGAATGGAATTACCTGCGTCCAGGACGATGGGCAGGTAACGCCAAGAGTACGGCAGGTAGGAAGAGCTGAGGCCGTCAATGAGCAGATTGCAACCTTCAAGCAAGGGTTGCCATTGACCCATGAAGATGCACCTACCCAGAAAGCAGGAATTCAGGCTTCTGGGTAGGCCAAAACTGCATCGCGTTGGTTCTTCATTCGCGGATCGGCCCCAAAAACAACCAATTCGCAACACATGCCGAACAGAACAGCAACGGCAGGTCATCCAAGCGCTGCAAAGTCACGCTTTTGGCGCAGAATCACGGACAGATCCCACACCACCGCGGCCAGCTGCCACGAGTCCTCCGCCTGCGCTTCTGTCCATGCAGGCATCAGAATCCTTGGCTGGGCCGCTGGTCTTTGTCTTAGCTTGGGGCCTCGAACCCACCGTCCCGCCAAGCCTGCCGCAGCGCGTTGACATAATGACTCGGCGGGAACGTTAACATATGTGCCAGCATGTGCGCGAGTGACCCTGCAGCGCGTGGACGGGCACGTTAACATGTGTGCCAGCATGTGCGCGAGTGACCCTGCAGCGCGTGGACGGGCACGTTAACATATGTGCCAGCATGTGCGCGAGTGACCCTGCAGCGCGTGGACGGGCACGTTAACATATGTGCCAGCAGAGTGACCCTGCAGCGCGTGGACGGCACGTTAACATATGCCAGCATGTGCGCGAGTGACCCTGCAGCGCGCGGACGGGCACGTTAACATATGTGCCAGCATGTGCGCGAGTGACCCTGCAGCGCGCGGACGGGCACGTTAACATATGTGCCAGCATGTGCGCGAGTGACCCTGCAGCGCGTGGACGGGCACGTTAACATATGTGCCAGCATGTGCGCGAGTGACCCTGCAGCGCGTGGACGGGCACGTTAACATATGTGCCAGCATGTGCGCGAGTGACCCTGCAGCGCGCGGACGGGCACGTTAACATATGTGCCAGCATGTGCGCGAGTGACCCTGCAGCGCGCGGACGGGCACGTTAACATATGTGCCAGCATGTGCGCGAGTGACCCTGCAGCGCGCGGACGGGCACGTTAACAGATGTGCCAGCATGTGCGCGAGTGACCCTGCAGCGCGCGGACGGGCACGTTAACATATGTGCCAGCATGTGCGCGAGTGACCCTGCAGCGCGCGGACGGGCACGTTAACAGATGTGCCAGCATGTGCGCGAGTGACCCTGCAGCGCGCGGACGGGCACGTTAACATATGTGCCAGCATGTGCGCGAGTGACCCTGCAGCGCGCGGACGGGCACGTCAACATATGTGCCAGCATGTGCGCGAGTGACTCTGCAGCGCGCGGACGGGCACGTTAACATATGTGCCAGCATGTGCGCGAGTGACCCTGCAGCGCGTGGACGGGCACGTTAACATATGTGCCAGCATGTGCGCGAGTGACCCTGCAGCGCGCGGACGGGCACGTTAACATATGTGCCAGCATGTGCGCGAGTGACCCTGCAGCGCGCGGACGGGCACGTTAACATATGTGCCAGCATGTGCGCGAGTGACCCTGCAGCGTGCGGACGGGCACGTTAACATATGTGCCAGCATGTGCGCGAGTGACCCTGCAGCGCGCGGACGGGCACGTTAACATATGTGCCAGCATGTGCGCGAGTGACCCTGCAGCGCGCGGACGGGCACGTTAACATGTGTGGTAGCATGTGCGCGAGTGACCCTGCAGCGCGCGGACGGGCACGTTAACATATGTGCCAGCATGTGCGCGAGTGACCCTGCAGCGCGCGGACGGGCACGTTAACATATGTGCCAGCATGTGCGCGAGTGACCCTGCAGCGCGCGGACGGGCACGTTAACATATGTGCCAGCATGTGCGCGAGTGACCCTGCAGCGCGCGACGGGCACGTTAACATATGTGCCAGCATGTGCGCGAGTGACCCTGCAGCGCGCGGACGGGCACGTTAACATATGTGCCAGCATGTGCGCGAGTGACCCTGCAGCGCGTGGACGGGCACGTTAACAGTAACCCTGCAGCGCGTGGACGGGCACGTTTATGCGTACAAAACTGGTACGAAATACGCGGAAAAACGGTCCAAAACCTGCGTTTCGGGCCCATGAATGGCCAAACAAAACGGGTGTTTTGCGCTCAAAAGCCTGAAGCAAACGTTGGCGTGGAAGGGAATACGTAAAATTGAGAATCTGCATCAAGAGAAGGGGACAAGGACAACGAAAAAGTTGCCAAATGTAGGGTTTGGGCGGCGGGTCGGCTGGCTAGCAAAACCAACAAGTGCGAAGTGGCAAAACTAGGGACAAGTGCAGAGTGTGGTGGTGATTCCTTTTGAAGGCCGAGATTGCGCGCGCAACTCCTTGAGCAGTTCCCGTTTTCCCCAGTCACCCCCTGATGTTGCGAAACTGGACATGTCCAAGATTCGGCCCAAGCGGAGCTGCTGAACTCGGCGCGGGCAGCACATGCGATGGCAGGGGTGGATGAACGCGTCGAAACGTCATTGCTGTTGCACAAAATCTCAACGTCCGCGTGTCATCGCCACATGCGTGTAGTGCGCGAGGCGTCACATAGAGATCTAATTTTGGATTCAAGCAAGGTTGGCTTGAACCATGGGTTCCTCTTTTGGGCATCAACTATTCTGGGCTCAGGTAAGTGCACTGCGAGGCGTTAATTGGAACGAAAAGAAGGCCACGGCGCTTGCGGGGTGGCTACACTCGCTCTACTCTACTCTTGCACGCAGCCCGCTGGAGTATCCACCCCGCCGAATGCAACACCTCGCTGGGCAACATGCCGCGGACATCCGTAGCATGGTAGCCCGAGAGTTGAGCGAACCGTGGCTATATATGTTTTCACTATGGCACGCATGAGGGTGGAAGTGCTGGGGACTCAAAAAGTGCTGGCCCAGCATCGACTCCAGTCGCCCAGGGTCGGTCTGCAGCATGCCGTGAAGCGCCCGGCACAGAGCCACCAACGTCTGCGGCGCAACCTGTGACTTCCTGACATCTCAAGCATGCATAGTGGACAGTTTCCCAAAGGGCTCGCAAAAGGATTTCGCAAAACCCTGGATTTGGGATTCGCGAATCCGGAATCCCGAATCCCGAAACCCAAAGTTAGAAAACATGGGGATTGAAGGCTAGGCTACAGCAAGCTTTAATGAGACGAAACGTGGATGCAAAAGTGGACCCCGACTGGCGAGCTTTGGACATGTTTGCTCCGACCTGTGGGAGGGACGAGGGGTCCTGGGATGACAGGCGACCGCGCACTTGATGTGAAAGGGAGGATGACAAACCAAAGGTCGTGTGGGGGATCGGGGGTCCTTGCTCAAATCATCCACAATGAACGCATGCCTCAGTGAGGTCGCGAGACAAAACAGCCATGGAAATCATACTTGGACTGGAACTTCACCGTGAAGTCGAAAGGCCTGCAATTCCATCGCCCGACAAACAACAGCTATGCAAACAGGCTATCGGATGCATTCCAACTGTTGGTTCGCAGGCTCGCCATGCAATGCGCAACATTTGGCTCGGGGGGGGGACAAGCTCTAACCTAACTTTCCTCAACAGCCAAATAGTCGCAGTGCACCGTTCGCAGAAACTGGCATCAGCGGGTTGCGCACACTCCCACCAACTGATGTCAATGAGTGCGCATGAACGTGTGCATGGACAAGGGGTGGTACAGTGGTGGACGAACCCCGGCAGCTTTGGACACCGCTCTTTTGCTCATTAATAAGCTTTTATGTCACTTTGAAAGTCGGGAACTCAGGGAGTGAGTGGATAAAAGTGGCAACCAAAGGACGCTTTGTTGCGACTATGAGTCATGAAGGAGATGCGTCGGCACCGGCAGGCGCGCAGAAATCCCTCCGCCGCTGGCAGCTCGTCCGCAACCTCTGGCTGCACCACCACCCGGCTCAGCCTCTCAGATCCGAGAAACATCAGCTATTGACAGGGGTCCCCATATTTGGTGAAACACTAGGAAATTGTAACTGTAACTGTACTCTTCGCACCAACAGGGGCAAGAAATCCGCCGACCCCTCTGCTTCCTGTTCTCAAGCTCGCGCAACCTTCCCCGGAAAACAGGACGGGTGGGACCCCGTCCTGATTTGCCCAGGAAACAGGACGGGTTGGACGAGCTGTGCTTCTGTATTCGTCCTGCTTTGCTCGAGAAAAAGGCTTACTTGTTCAAATGAAATAGTGATCTACCCGGAAGGCCGGACGGGTTGTGATTTTTTACCCATCCCCATTTACCCGCGATACAGGACGGGTTGGACGACTTGGTATTTTTTACCCGCCGGATGTGCCCAGTTCCCGATTTGCCGGGAAACAGGACGGGTTGGACGAACAGTGATTGTTTGCCCTTCCTGAGTGCAAGCAAAGACCAAGCAAACATTCCATCGATTCGTCATCAGCACACCTGGGGCTAGGACATGGGTAGAAGCTTATTCAAATAGTTTTTCGCTGCAATGAGCGCCGCCCGCTGTCCACTCCATCATGCTTTGCCTTGTTTCAGCATATCGTGAGCAAATGCAAATAAGTTGCAACCATGCTTCCACGATGGGGGTCAGCTTGGCTGGCTGACACAAGACTAGCCCTTGACGCCAGGATTTGTTGCCATCACAAGCAGCTAGTGTACTGGGTTAACATCTTGATTTCAAGCTCGTGAAATTGAATGTGCGCGAGCACGTGCAATGTCTCCGGGGCGTGTGTGACATTTATGACTGGAGCCGAGTCTTTGCTGACAGTGCTGAGTGTGTTTTCGATTGTTGGATAGCAAGTAGCCGTTCAGACTGCAAGCTTGTCGTGTCGCGCCTTTTCACACCAACATTGCAAAACAAAAACTCAACCAAAAAAGACATTGCTATCAGCGGGCTCCCATCAAAGATTGGCTCAAAGCTACCAGGGAGCAGCACGGTGTCCATGTCGGGAGCGCAGGTGGCCAAAAGTCCGGCCAGCACGCCAAGTGTGACACGCTCTGGGAGTTGCAACGGTGTGCGCACGTCCTTGTCCTGAGCTAAAGAACTGTGGCAAGAACTTGGTCAGCACTCAACCCCAAACCTACTATCCTGTTAGTCAAGGGTAAAGTTGTACCATGGTCCCAAGCGTTGACCCAAAGAAAGAAGAGAAGGTGCCTTTGGGTTGCGCGTGTTGCTGGCCATTGTTTATTAACCCTTGCTAGGAAGCTGTCAAACACACACACACCAAGTGGACAAAATGCGCCAAAGGGAGTGCCACCAACAAAACTGGGTGTCATCAATGAGCACAAAATCGCCAAGGCCATGAGGCGTAGGGCGGTGATCAGCCACGGTTAGCTTCAAAGGCTTGATGCCAAAAACTGGGCAGAGCAAGTTGTGCGCCAACTCAAAGCGGGTAACATCCCCACGCCTTTTGGCCATGCTTGCTCGTCGGCTCTGGAGGATGTCCATGGCCGTCTCCCCTTTCTTGCTGACGAGCCGTCGAACCTCATTGACTTTGCCGTGCGCCTGCCAAAGCATGCTCCGCAATCGCTTGGCCCAACGGCCCCAAATCAAAACGTCGCATTTGCCCAGCATTCCCCCCCAAAAAACGCTATAAATGGATACTATCCCGCCTCCCCCGCTTTTCCCAAAAGTGTTTACAAGGGGTTCTTACGGTAAGAGGCTTAGATCCGCAAAAGGTAGTGCACGAAGTGCGCCCCCGCAGCTCCAGCTCGAAATTGGCAAGTTTTAAGTGCAAAAGTTGTACGCGAAGTGCGCTGCTGGAGCTCCGGCTGCTAAGTTGCAATTTTTCAGTGTCAAACGAAGTGCGTTCCCATGGCCCCTTGTAAGTCCAAGTTGGCGCGCTCCCGCAGCTCCGGCTCGGAAATCACAACTTTCAAGCAAAAGTATTGTTCGGGAGTGCGTTGTCGCATCTCCAGCCAAAAAAAGTCAACTTTAAAATGTAAAAGCCTTCTTGAGCAGCCAAGCTGCGCGTAGGTATGGACAAGAGAGTTTTTCGAGCGAGGGCATGAAAGGTTTGGAAATGAGAGGTTGCAAAGCATCATGCGCAGAATCATGCGCTGCATCGTGCGCAACGTCCTGCGACATCATGCGCAACATCATGCGCGGCTTCGCGAGGAGCATCAAGCCACAGCATCGCGCGCACGAGAAGTTGACAGGAGAGATTGTGAAGCATGATGCTAAGTTTGCTCATCAGAACTCGCAGAAGCTACCCTTGAGCAGGGACATTGAGATTTGTTTCTCATCAGGTGGGAGAGGTGTCAGGGTTTATTTCACGTCTTTCTATGCTTCCGGGCCACTTGTCGTCAAGTTAAGCCCAATACAGTTGGGCGTCTTGCCGGGATAATGCAATTGTTTCAGGGGTTGGGCATGACGGGACATCGGAACTCGGAGCTCGGAGCCTGCGCCCACGAAACCAGCTCCTCCATTGCCTCCGCCTGGCCGTTCCACGCGGCCGCATGGAAGGCCGAGTTCTTCCATGTGCCTGGGCTCGTTGAAAAGCCCCGTACCCTTCCCCGCTTTACAAGGGGAGCAGATAGGACCGTGCCATGATTGAAAGGGAGGGAATAGACAGGCCATGGCCAGAACGACCCTGTAGGACGTTGTTTGTTGTGTTTTTGTGTGTGGCGTGTGTGTGGCACCCCTGGTGGTACATGTCTGTCAGACTGTGTTTGACTGTTAACACTTGGCGCGGCCCCGACAGTGTGAGAATGAAGCTTAATAAACCCGTTGACCCATGCCCTTGAGGTGGTCCGCCAACCAGTTTGTTTGAAAAACAAGGTCGGGCGAGCAACCTCCTGAACCGCAGCCCGCTACATGAAACATGTTACCTGAGCGTCGTTGCCAAAGCACATGGAATTCCTTCGGAAGTTCGTTCGGCGCACGCTTGCAAGCCTACGCTAGGTAGTACACAACTCGGCATGTTTCATGAAGTCCCATGACCGAGCCTTCTTGGGGTGATCTCCCACAAACTCCACAACACGAGTAGCCCCTGAAGTACATCCTCAGTTGAGCCTCTCGCCAGGGCCAAGCTCCTACATTCTTTGGAAGGGGCCCTTGAAAGTTCTACCGGGGCGCCTTCCATCCAGCAAGGATCTGCCAGCTGAAGCCAGGGCGAATCTGCGGGGGCTGTTTGAGGGCTGTGGTGGGCCAGCAGGTACCTCACTTGCCACAAGGACTTGAAAACAGAAAGCGTTCAACCCTGGCCGCTTCACATGAAAAAACCGATTCAAACGCCGCTGGTCTCAAATATGCGAGAAGCTTCACGCAAGCGCTGTAATTCTGCTCACAGCAGTGGTGCAAAAGCGAACCTTCGCTCCACAAGCTCAGCCGCGCAACAGTATGAAAATGCTGCGGGTTCACTTGGTCGCCGGTCTGAAAGTAAAGCTGCAGAATCTTGCAGACATTCGCATCCTGTAGCACTGCTTTGATGATCTCAGGATCATCCTCATCTAACTTGTCAAACTCTTCCTTCACATAGTCACTCGCCATTCTGATATTGCTGTTGAAAAACTGTGACACCATTTTGACTTTCTTGCCTGTGGTCCCGAGCTCATGAATCACCGTGTGCCACGCAGGCTCAAGTTTCGCATCACTGTCACTGTCTTGATTTTGGCCGGCTGCACCATAGCGCTCCTCAATTTCTTTAACATGCACTTGCCTGAACACCATCCAGCGGAAAGGCTTTTGCACCGCTTTGCCACCCACGATATCCTGCCCATGTGCCTTCGCAAGTCAAATGTGCCTTTCAACCAAACAATGCTTACAACTCATTTGTGCAAACGCCCTGCCATAAAGAGGCTCACCCTTTAGGACAACTTGGGGCAACGCCAAAAGCAGCAACCAGCAAAAACAGACATACTAAGAGCAATGATGCTGTTCGTGTCAAAAGCCGGCAGCCAGATTGCACAGTCTCCTTGGCAAAGCCTAGCGGTATCTCTCTGGCCGCTGCGTGGCCGTACACGTGATCCACATGGCTCCCCAAGAAAGTAGCAGTGCTAACTGCAGACCCAGCATCTGACACGCCGTCCTCAGGGAAAAACCGTCTGCCTGAAGTACTCCCAAAGCGTTTGGTTGGTTTCCTGCGAAACCAAAGGGACAATACGCATTGCCAAGGCTTTTCTGCATTCCCCCAGAGGCCCACGCCAACATAGAACCAGCTTGGAAAAACGGAAAGCGGGTGCAGTTCTTCGTGCTTTCATTGGAATTTTGGGTTCTTTTTGTTTTCTAGGGATATGTGCAAGTTAAGCAGTCGTGTCTGCTGTTCCAACGCATACTTTCCGGCTTTGTCAGGAAGAGAACAAACCTTGAGAACACCAGACAAACTGCATGTCTATATAACAAAAAAACAATCCTCAGACAGTTTTTTACTGGATCAGCCCTGCCCAAAGACCAAGCCAAGAAATAATCAAACAAACGCAACCAGAAACACAAAACAAGTGCATCCCTTAGACTCTTTCAATTGACTGAGCCAAGAGTTCTGGGAGAATGTTCTTGGTTCTGTTGGTTTGGTGTTGTTTGGCTCGAAGCTTTTTTTGGTTTGTGGTTTTGGGCAAGGCTTTTGCTTTTGTTGAAAATGCTTCCGAGTTGACATTCCAAGTTAAAATGGAATCTCAACGTGGGCCCTTTTCGAACACCTTGTGTTGAAATGTCAACTAACTTGTAAGATACGTTCTCCTGAATCGTGCGAAATACAATCAAATTGAAGTAGAATAACTCTTGGTTGACGTCTAATTTAGCACGGACAACTATGATTTGATGTTGTCCTTATCAAACTCTATTCCAGGTATACTAGAGGCGGAGGGACAAAGTTTCTAGAAAGGACATGTGCCTCTAGGAAGAGAAAGAAGGCACCCCCTCTCTCTCTCTCTCTCTCTTCCATTTGATCCATCTATCTATCTATCACCTGACTTTGCGAAAGTGCTGCGCCTCCCACGAAATCTGTACTCCACCTTGCGAACGTGTTGCGCGTGCCACGAAATCTGCACCTCTGGTTAAAACAGTCTGTGCGGCCGTGCCATTTCGTATTACGGAAGTTTTCTAACTAAAGAACGACCTATTGTTTTCTTCTACAGTGGCCCGCTGGTGAGAAGGCGAGTTTAACGTGGAGTGAGTCGAGTGAGTGGAGTGAGTGGAGTGAGTGGAGTGAGTGGAGTGAGTGGAGAGAGTGGAGAGAGTGGAGTGAGCGGAGTGAGTGGAGTGGGTGGAGTGAGTGGAGTAGGTGGAGTGAGTGGAGTGAGTGGAGTGAGTGGAGTGAGTGGAGTGAGTGGAGTGAGTGGAGTGAGTGGAGTGGGTGGAGTGAGTGGAGTGAGTGGGGTGAGTGGAGTGAGTGGAGTGGAGTGAGTGGAGCGAGTGGGGTGAGTGGAGTGAGTGGAGTGAGTGGGGTGAGTGGGGTGAGTGGGGTGGGTGGGGTGGAGTGAGTGGAGTCAGTGAGTGAGTGAGTGAGTGAGTGAGTGAGTGAGTGAGTGAGTGAGTGAGTGAGTGAGTGAGTGAGTGAGTGAGTGAGTGAGTGAGTGAGTGAGTGAGTGAGTGAGTGAGTGAGTGAGTGAGTGAGTGAGTGAGTGAGTGAGTGAGTGAGTGAGTGAGTGAGTGAGTGAGTGAGTGAGTGGAGTGAGTGGAGTGAGTGGAGTGAGTGGAGTGAGTGGAGTGAGTGGAGTGAGTGGAGTGAGTGGAGTGAGTGGAGTGAGTGGAGTGAGTGGAGTGAGTGAGTGAGTGGAGTGAGTGGAGTGAGTGGAGTGAGTGGAGTGAGTGGAGTGAGTGGAGTGAGTGGAGTGAGTGGAGTGAGTGGAGTGAGTGGAGTGAGTGGAGTGAGTGGAGTGAGTGGAGTGAGTGGAGTGAGTGGAGTGAGTGGAGTGAGTGGAGTGAGTGGAGTGAGTGGAGTGAGTGGAGTGAGTGGAGTGAGTGGAGTGAGTGGAGTGAGTGGAGTGAGTGGAGTGAGTGGAGTGAGTGGAGTGAGTGGAGTGAGTGGAGTGAGTGGAGTGAGTGGAGTGAGTGGAGTGAGTGGAGTGAGTGGAGTGAGTGGAGTGAGTGGAGTGAGTGGAGTGAGTGGAGTGAGTGGAGTGAGTGGAGTGAGTGGAGTGAGTGGAGTGAGTGGAGTGAGTGGAGTGAGTGGAGTGAGTGGAGTGAGTGGAGTGAGTGGAGTGAGTGGAGTGAGTGTGAGTGGAGTGAGCGGAGTGAGTGGAGTGAGAGGAGTGAGTGGAGTGTCTGAGTGAGTGAGTGAGTGAGTGAGTGAGTGAGTGAGTGAGTGAGTGAGTGCGTGCGTGCGTGAGTGAGAGTGAGTGAGTGAGTGAGTGAGTGAGTGAGTGAGTGAGTGAGTGAGTGAGTGAGTGAGAGTGAGTGAGAGTGAGTGAGTGAGTGAGTGAGAGTGAGAGTGTGAGTGAGAGTGAGAGTGAGAGTGAGAGTGTGAGTGAGAGTGAGTGAGTGAGTGAGAGTGAGTGAGTGAGTGTGAGTGAGTGAGTGAGTGAGTGAGTGAGTGAGTGAGTGAGTGAGTGAGTGAGTGAGTGAGTGAGTGAGTGAGTGAGTGAGTGAGTGAGTGAGTGAGTGAGTGAGTGAGTGAGTGAGTGAGTGTGAGTGAGTGAGTGAGTGAGTGAGTGAGTGAGTGAGTGAGTGAGTGAGTGAGTGAGTGAGTGAGTGAGTGAGTGAGTGAGTGAGTGAGTGAGTGAGTGAGTGAGTGAGTGAGTGAGTGAGTGAGTGAGTGAGTGAGTGAGTGAGTGAGTGAGTGAGTGAGTGAGTGAGTGAGTGAGTGAGTGAGTGAGTGAGTGAGTGAGTGAGTGAGTGAGTGAGTGAGTGAGTGAGTGAGTGAGTGAGTGAGTGAGTGAGTGAGTGAGTGAGTGAGTGAGTGAGTGAGTGAGTGAGTGAGTGAGTGAGTGAGTGAGTGAGTGAGTGAGTGAGTGAGTGAGTGAGTGAGTTGAGTGAGTGAGTGAGTGAGTGAGTGAGTGAGTGAGTGAGTGAGTGAGTGAGTGAGTGAGTGAGTGAGTGAGTGAGTGAGTGAGTGAGTGGGTGGGTGGGTGGGTGGGTGGATGGGTGGGTGGATGGGTGGGTGGGTGGGTGAGTGAGTGAGAGTGAGTGAGTGAGTGAGTGGAGTGCAGAGAGGCGGGCGGAAGGAGGCGGAAGGAGGGGCGAAGGCGGAAGGAGGCCGCAGCAAACGCGGCCGGGCATGAGCTCTGCAATGTTTACTCCGGACTTGACCGCAACGTCTACCACCCCAAAGTAGAAGTTCCCCAAGCAAAGGACTTACATGCTGGAAAATTCGCTTTGCAAACAGCTTTAGTCATGATCACGCCGGGCTGTTCCAAATCCCCTGCTAAAAGTTTTCTATCTGTCGGTGATTTAAAACTACAACTGAACCCTGAAAATCTAAAAACTGAGAGGCTGGGAATCACCGGCTTGGGAGGAACGTTAGCAATTCCCGTGCACCTCATTGTGCCCAGTGTCCTGGCTCCACAAATTGCAGCCCATGGGCGCGAACGGACGATCCTCGCGTTCTGCGAAAGTGGGATGGCGCTCATACCAAGGCAGCCATCCTGCCCAGGGTCTTGGGAATAGCCTGTCTACTTCTGTAATTCCCAACGGGAGTTCCCCGATGTTAAAGAGGTGGTTGAAACATCCAGCCTCATTCCCACAACCCTCATCCTGCTTCAAAGGTGCATTCCTCCTCTTCCGAGTCGGAGCTCTCAACTGGGATTTCCCAACACCTGGTGCCTGCGCCAATGCGGATTTGGTTATCTCCTACTCATTGCGGGAGGGAGGATTTCGAAAAACATGACAAGTCTCACTTCAAGAAACCTCAAAAAGATCAGAACAACAAACCAAACGGTATGCAGCTCAAACAACGGCAGCCTGCAAAACAACAAAACATTGTCAACAAACCCCAAAAAGAAAACAAAGAGGAAAGCAGCCGCATCAAATTTATGAGTGCAGTTGCCCTCCGGCCACTCGGACGAGCCGTCCATGTCCATCGCTCCCAAGCCTGCAGTCCAGAAAGGGGACCACAAATGGCTTGCGGGCAAGTCTGAAGTTGCAACTTGGTGTTGAAAACGCGGGAAGCTGCGACAAATCCTGGGCTTCACTTCAGCGTAGGTCCGTCCATTCAACCAACATGGATTAAATGCGGTCCAATTAGAACTCACGCCTCAAACACCTGATAGCGCTCCTCTCTCCAGATAACACGTCATGTGATTGAGCCAATCAAGGCTGACAGCCTTCTTCATTCTCGAGAACACGCTATGCGAAATAAGCCAGCTAAAACATATGATACCGCACCTTGCTGTGACTGAGCAAAACAACCAACCGGAACACACCATACAATGGAGCCCTGCGAAAAACACAATCAGTACAAATCGTTCCGGGAATGCGCCATTCGATTTATGTAGATCAACAACGCACATGAAAAGTCTAGGTCCGCCATCAGCAGTCAGAGCCGCGAACGAGTGCCCAAGTGCAAAAAACATGGTTCAACCTTGTTGCATTGGCTTACATGCCACGTGATGGACCCCAACAGCAAAAACTATGATGTAAGACGCAGTACACGAAGCCGTGAAACTTCGACTTCAACCACGAAATCCGTAAATTGCGGAACCATCTGCTGCAGGTACGCTCTACACAGGGGCGTCCCCCGGACACAACGAGCAAAGTGTAGAGTATGCTGATCAGATTCTCTTCTTGAATGACAAGCAACCGCCCTGCGTTGAGGATTCTGCTTGAAGCTGAAAGCAATACACTCACAAACGCACACACACACACACACAGAACACAACCACATCACGTACAACCGCACACGCGCACGGAGACACACACAGAGACACACACACACACACACGCAAACACAAACACCCACACAAACACAAACACCCACACGAACACCACGTGCCCACCACCGATATCTAAATTGCATCACATGTGCAAGTCTTTCCGTTTGACTTGTATGTATCCCCGTTGTTTGCGCCGTGTGAATGTACATATTGAACACATTGTTGTCCCGTTGCCCATCGAACTCTTCAGAGAAAAGGATGCGGTCAGCGTAAGGATGGTTGCGTTCCCCCATGGCCAAGACCATGTTGAAACATTTTGAACCGTTCGATGGAACTCTCATTTGCGCCGGGCTGCCCGCCATACCCACTGTGCAACTTCAAAAGGGACCGTCCCAAGCAACTTCGAGCCCATTTGGGTGTTTTAATTAGGCCCTTTTCTGGATGGTTTCAAGGGAAACCAAAAAGGACATAATACATCTCTACTCTTGGTATGGTAGCAAAACACTTTGTTTTTTGCAGACTCCCAGTAAAAATGAACAGAACCAAAAAACTAAAAACCAAAAATCATGCCAAGAACAGCGAAGAAAACCTTCGGAGTCTGGCAACCATGCCGAAAAAACCTGTTGAAAGGGAGCTATGGAACTTCGTAGCTTTGCCTCAGGCAAGTTCTCCAAAATCCATTCAAGAGAAAACCGAAAGCTTCAAGGGATCCAATTGGAATCCTCCCAGCGGCCTTATCGCGCCACCTCCGAGCCACGCGTTGCGGAGCACTTCGAAGCGGTGGCTTCTTCAGCCAAGTGAGCCGGCGGAAACCGCAGGTTGCGGGCGACAGCGCCGGACAAAGCAGAAGCTCCCTGGTTGGAATTGGGACCCCGGCAAAAAACCACATGTTTTGCCTAGTTATTTCAAAACAAAGGGGACCCCCCCCCAAAAAAAAAAAAAAAAAAAAAAGCTGATTCTGGTGAAGAACACTGCATGCGCTTAGCGAGGCCCCGGCCAGCCCCGCATGAAATCTGCAAATGTGGTGGGTCTGCAGAAGTGAGTCTTCAACCAGAATCACCCTACATTTAGTGAGTGTCCCCTTCCCGTCAAATGGATGCAACCAAATCTGGTAGTTTTTTGCTTGCTGGCGGTAAGGCGCCGGCAACAGCCACAGCCATCGCCAGCCGGTAGATGAGAACTGGCTTCACTTGGAAGTACTCGCCTGACTCGATCCAGGCGCACGCATGGCTTGGCTCAGGCAAGTACTGGGTGCCATAGGTGTCCTTTCAATATAGGGGAACTAGACCTACCAAAGGGCATGCCTCAGTTCAGAAAAAATCCCCTCAGCCGACCACTTCAACCATATTAACTAACTGGGGCACGTCACCTCAACCAATTTTATCACCTAAATCCCTAAATCCCAAATTCCCAAATCCCAAATTCCCAAAATATATTTTCCAAAATCCCAAATTCCCAAAATCCCAAAATATATTTTTCCAAAATCCCAAATCCCAAATTCCCAAAATACATTGTTTAAATTCTTAAAATATAAAGCCCCATAATTTCAAATCATAAATCTTACAATGTTTTCATTGTAAGGTTTATGGGTTATTCCTTTTCTGGGTTTTCTGGGGGGCAACCGTCGGCACCGACTGCCCCACCGCGCTTCGTGGAGAAGAACCTCAACCACTTCAAGGCACGCCCTGTGTTATGTCGGTCATCTGTCATTGAGTTGTTTGGAAATCATTTACCAAGTTGTTTGATGCTCCATCTTCAATACTGCTAGAACATGTCTGGTTCAAGAGTTAAATTTGCCACAATCCCTTTGCCTTCGTGATGCCATCCTTGGTGTTTGTGAGCCTGAATGGGCGGATGAGGGCGCTGAAGCTTGATGCTGGCACAGTGCTTTCAAGCCTTGATGTCACCTACCTTGAGCAGTTTGAGGTGCGCGGTGAAACATTGCTGGAGTGCCTCAGGGTAATGACAGTCGCCAACATTGTGAGCACTCTGGAAGTTTTGCATTTAAGAGACGCTTATATTATAAATTCCTTTGTGGGACAGTTTGAGCGCATCACATCAACTGCTAACGTGTTGAATGTGATGAACAACTTGCCTTCCTCATCAACCGCTCAACCTGCTCAACCTGCTCAACCGCCATTGGGCAACATTGAGGACATTACCTCAAAGCCTTTCACTGGCACACCCCACCGCATTGGGGGCACTCAGGATGACAAATATGAGCTCATCAAAAAGGAGGCGGAAATGTTGGGCATCAACCCCGATGACCTCTTCAAGGATGACATCAACATCCACGTGGTTTTTGTGGATTTGCGTCAGGACCCCCCGCCTCATTGGGATGACTTTACCGTCAAGTTTGACGCAACCAAGTCGCCATCAACGCTGGCGGTGGTGATTTTGGAGGAGTATGACGATTACCGTGGTCAACTCAAGGAGTTTTTGGACTTGAGCGACCGCAACTTTCGTCAGTGCCTCTTCTTTGCGGATGATGCTTTGGTGGGCAAGAAGTCAATGATGTCTTTGAAGACACTTGGCATCAGTGATGGGGCAACGGTTGAGATGAGGCTCTTTGAGATTGACGACCCTTGCTTTGCCAAGCTTTGGGAGGATACCCAAGAAGAGGAGAAGAAGGAGCAGGTGAGTGCATCCGAGGAGACCAAGGACGAGGACATCAAAACGGATGGTGAGGACGCAGAGACATTGTTTATGTCCCTTGCCGACTCCAAGGCGGATACGTTGTCCTTCATTGGGATTGTCAATGTCGTGTTGGTTCTTAAGAAGAGGCACGAGTTCCGCGGGAGTTATAAGAATGGCGAGACCTTCGCAGACCTTGCCGAGCGCTTGCCGGAGAGCATCGCCATCCAAATCGGCGACGACTTCCAGTTCCGCGTGTCCCAGAGCTTCGTTGAACCCTACGAGACTTTGTCGTCAGTTCTGTCCAAGGACTTCAATACCGTCTTCATCGTGCCGAAGTTGAAGGGCGGTGGCAAGACGACTTCAGTCATCAAAACAGTTGTCAAGGACAAAAGCAAGGGTGTGTCTCCTGCTGATGCCTCAGCATTCCAGAACATCATATTGCAGGGGCAGGTGCTACAGTCACGCCCAATGACATCAAGGATGTGTTCGCCAACATCCCGCTCAACACGCTCAATGAGATGAAGGTCTACCTCACTCACCACAAAGGCACCGCGTTGGTCAAAATGATGGGTATTATCTCCAAAATCCCTTCCATCAACCAAATGGAGAACGCGATGAGTCCAACAGGCAAGGGAAATCATCACGCAGTTCTTCAAGCAGACCTGTGCTGATGATGGTGAGGTGCGCATTGCAATGCTAAAGTCTTTCATAGATGGACGCATCGCAATTCAGGAGGACAAATCCTCTGCATCCAAGGCAGTGCCAAAGGCACTTGCGCCTGCCTCGGCCGGTGATGTGAATATGGGGTGATGAGACTTCACCGCGCACAGTGAGCAAATACCCTATGTGAAAATCCACATACCCTACGTGAAATCCACATACCCTACGTGAAATCCGCATACCCTATGTGAAATCCGCATGCCCTATGTGAAATCCGCATACCATATGTGAAATCCAAACTTTCTATGCGAAGTCAAAATATGCTTTTTGTTTGTCTGGGTCACTGTGCTCTCTGTCTCAATCTGGATGGCGTAAGTCTGTCCGCATCAGTAGGGTGAAGGGGAGAAAGTCTTGTGTTTTTTTTGCTGTTGTGCTGGGAGAGGGTTGGTGAGGTTGAAGGCAGGTAAGATTGAGGACTGCCAACCGCCCTTGGTTTGTTTTTACCCTTCCCCCATTTTGGTAGTTCCCGCATCGTTGTGCCCGCAGGTATCTTCTTCGTCGTCTTCGCCTACAAGACTTTCCTCTACTAGGTATGGACGGGAGGAGGTGGGAGGGTTTTTTCTTATTTATATATAATATATAAGGGGGAAACTCTCGCCAATTTTTGTTGCCCTGTTTGGTGATTGGTGGGAGTTTCCTGATAGTTTCATATAAATTTTGGTGGTTTATCTATTTCATAAACTATGGATTATGCCCTTAAAATGAATAATTTTCTAAATTTTAAATTTCATAAATTTTACTGTGTTGTCGTTGGATGAACCTAGAAATTTCAATTTTGAACTCCAACCCCAAACTCGTTTCTTTAATCCACCAAACTCGTCAAAATCTCACACATCAATTCAGCAGGTACT